GCTTTTGGAAAGGCAAGGAATTTCCGAATCCTGTTCCTCAGGAGTCTTCAAAGTTAACACTGTACAGCCTTTCTGGTTTCTATTCAAACATTATCCAGCTTTACCGGAGGATCACAAGCTTGCTTCAACTTGTTTGAAGAACCTCACTGGCTTGCTCCGAGAGGGAAAGGTGATCCCCGTGACGTCTCGTATCATGGATGGTGGTCTTGAAGGAATTGCGCAAGGCTTTGCAGATATCAAAGCTGGAAAAGTGAGAGGCGAGAAATTGGTCTATAGGGTGGGCTGAAACAGGAGGTTTTACCTTTTTTTTTCTTGAATGGCTTTTGAAGGAGTTTATATATCCTACATGGCGAGTGCTGCTATGGGCAAGTCACGAACTACGACGTAATGTGATGAAGATTAGAAAACCACGTCTATAAGATAGATTGTAATATCAAGGAGGGGGGTTGATATCAACTCAGGCTACGGAGTAGGGTCGACAGTTGCGTGAGAAAGTAGTCTTTAGTCTCACTTAGCACCATATCGTGCTCTGGCTGCAACCCAGTGTAAGACCTGCTACTATACAAATGACTATCTAGCGTACAGCGCTCATTTTTACATAAACAATATCTGTGCAAGTTTTTTTTTAACGATTGTTTTGACGAGAATTTATCTCTGATAAGCTTGTTGAAGAGTGATCATCTACTACACTGGCCTCAGTTTGGTTACATGCCACCGGGCAAGATTGTCGATGAGGTATGCTCAACGGTCGCAGGGGTACCTTCCAACTTGAAGCCAGTCGATAGACTCCAGGACAACTTTAAATTAACTTTGTAAGACCATATCAAGTCCTCCCGTGACTGCTAAGTGATGAATCAATCAAAAAGCAGCCATGGGAGGATTTGACCTGGTCCTATAAGCATCGGCAGTACTCACCCACGACGAATCCCGGCTTGCATGCTCCAGGAAAGCCTGAAGCGTCGGCGATGGTTAAATTACTCAGCCCCCTCTGATTGGCGGATTGTGATGAGCCGAAAAGCCTCTGGACGCAGATTTGTCGACATGGGTCAGCATGGCTGACCAGGAAGAAGTTCATGCGGTCGGCGATTACTTCACAGCTCATCTCTTGTCACCGAAATGATAGGCGTATGACTCTGACTACTGCGTTTCCGCCAGGGTATCAAATGTTACTTTTGAAAGGTTAAAGATACTTAATGTTAAGAGCTATCATACTTATCAAGATCTTGACTGTTCTGTATTACTATGGGTCATTAGCTTCTACGAAGGTACTAATCCCTAGTTGAGGAGGTACTATTCCCCTTTCTGAACTAACATTTATTACCCTGGCTGAGGTGTAGCAAAAGGAACGACATGTGGGGGTCCTTGTGTGTCAAGAAGCCTTGTTTAGCCTCAAAATGATCCTCAAAGTTTTCGAAGCTGGTCCGGATTGCGCCACGAAGGTACTACTTTAGGAAACCAACGATTTTATTTGGATCGGCAGTTTCGCCATGTCGAACAATCTGCCTTTCTTGACACTATCAGTGCAAGCCGACCCATTGGTTTGAGTTCATCATAAACAATTGTACTCATCATATTCACGGATTAGCGCTGAGACTTCGACGCGATTCGTTCATGACCTGTCTGGCTTAGGATCATCACTCTTTCAAGAGACACACTATCTTACCTAAACTGTCTGGCAACAGCAAATGATTTCACAGTGAGTAGATAATGCTGTCTGCCAGTTAAGGAAGTCCCGTTCGACTTCACAAATTGACGAGTAGTCTCTGAGTGGAAAGCCATGTCTTGGAAAGTGAGCACGTCAACGGGATATTGGCTTTACGATTTACGACACGATCTTCATGTATCTCGCAACATTCAACTAGAAATGGGCTGCTGTCATTGTCTCAACACGTATTGTATTAGTAGTAAGAGCCTTTGAAGAATGAGTATGTTCATTGATGGATCGATTTCATGGAGATGCAAGCATGCGATTTCTTAACTGTGTAAACACATTCTGTCAATCATGTTTTCCCCCCAATCTAAGGTGCCCTCTCACTCCCAATTCTCAGCTTGTGGCAAAAGCCTCTCGTACATAATTGTGGACGCGCATCTGTTTAAGAGTTTTTATTGCAGTTTGTTTGCGGCCGGGAGTCGGTTTCGGGATTGGTGTGGAGCGCAAAAGTCTTGGTTTTATGGCGTCAGACGCCCAGCTATGGCGACATCTGCGCGATACTGATACCATGACTAGCCTTCCAATCGTGGTCATCTCGACCGATGCCAACATTTCCGGCGTCCAGCTCAGACAGCTCAAGGGTCACCAAAAGGAATCAACTCACCGATTACCAGCATGTGCAAATCCTGGAGTCTATCTTCGCAAATATGATGCAACGAGCAATGATGTCGCAAAGGGTTTCTGATCTGACTATCTTCCAAGAGCCTCATGAACTTGCATTATCTATCCTAATTGAGTCTAAAGTCTTTTCCAATTGACGACGAAAACCGCAAGTCTCCCAGTCCCAGCAAGTTTGTCTCGTTTCAGAATCAGATATCATTAATGGCATTTTGTATTTCCTTTTCGCAAAGGTTTTCTAATTGCAACTGTTCCTTGGGAATGATGTTATTGGGGAATGATTCTAGTCAGGGGTCAATCTATGAGTAAATTACCGTGTTGAAGGTATGTGTCAGCCACCAGCTCGCCGCCATCACCAAAATCGGGACAATAATATGTGTCAGTGTAAAACGTATCACAGATACAAAGTTCAGCTTTTGCCTCTTCAATTTCAATTGACATACTGAAATTATCTCGCTAATAGTGATTGGACCGGCGGTAATTTGCGAAGTATCGCCATGGATAGGGGGACTGCCGAGCCTGCGCCAAGTCGATGGCTGACAATGAGGCCTCTTGAGGAGTGGGATTGCTATCAGCCAAGCTCCCTAGCGAACACTTGGCTGCCGTCAAGAAATCTTGGATCAGCTGGGCACGCCATATGTTCTGAATGTGACTTGACATAAAGAATCTCACTGTTCTCGACATGAATCCAGTTCCTGCGACATCATTGCTCTGCTGTTCCTCCAGTTCGCTGAAATCTAGCTACTAAACATGGCTCGCAATAGCTTTGGTAGAGGACTGGCACGGGCATTTGGCATCAAGCTTGATCCTCCACATGCATCGCAATACGGGCCAGGAGTTAAGCCAGGCTCAAGAATTGATATATACAACGAATCCATCCCCACATCCAAGGAGTTCTTTTTGAGTCTTGTTCCAACAAGATCTGGTGTGACCCACTACATTCAAAGCTTGTTTCCCTTTTGGTCTTGGATTTTTCACTACAATTTCACTTGGCTACTTGGCGACCTAATAGCAGGTAGGGAAATGCATGAGGTGGAACTTATTCTACTTCAGACGTCCGCTTCTGAACCTAATAGCTGACATTGCAAGGCATCACTGTCGGCTTCGTTGTTGTTCCACAGGGGATGGCTTACGCCCTTCTTGCGAAGCTTCCACCGGAGTTTGGTCTCTATACCAGCTTCGTGGGCTTTCTTCTGTACTGGGCGTTTGCAACATCAAAAGACATCACCATCGGCGTAAGTTCTTGGTGCTCAATAGAGCTTGTGACTATGCTCACATACTCCACAGACTGTAGCAGTCATGTCTACAATTGTAGGAAACATCGTGATTCGTGTGCAAGAAGAGTATCCCGATGAGTTTGCCGCCGACCAAATTGCTCGGGGTTTAGCTGTCATCTCTGGAGCTGTCCTACTATTTCTTGGACTCATCAGAGCGGGCTTTATTGTTGAATTCATTCCCCTGATTGCCATTGCTTCATTCATGACGGGAGCGGCCATAAGCATTGGATCTGGACAAGTCCCAGCGCTTATGGGCATATCTGGAGTCAATACTCGAGAAGCCACCTATCGAGTTATCATCAACACTCTCAAAGGTCTTCCTAGAACTAAACTCGACTCAGCAATGGGATTGACTGCGTTGTTCTTTCTCTTTTTTGTCAAGTGGTTCTGCAACTTTATGTCTAGGAAGCAGCCCAAGAACAAAAAGTTATGGTTCTTTGTGTCTACTTTACGTATGGCATTCGTCGTTCTGCTGTACATTCTTGTCAGCTGGTTAGTCAATAGGGGTATTGAGGATCCGAAGAAGGCGAAGTTCAAGATTCTTGGTCATGTGCCTAGTGGTGAGTTTCTTCGACTCAATTTTGGTTTCTTGATTTAGCAGACGATAGCTTACACCCAGTTCAGGATTTCAACATGCTGGAGCACCAAAGATAACCAAGGATCTCCTTTCAGCACTTGCACCAGACATACCGACCACTATCCTCGTTCTGATTATTGAACATATTGCTATTTCAAAGTCATTCGGGAGGATTAATAATTATATTATCGATCCATCCCAGGAATTGGTCGCAATTGGTTTCTCGAATATTTTTGGGCCATTCTTAGGAGGATATCCAGCAACAGGTTCCTTCTCGCGAACAGCGATTAAGTCGAAAGCAGGCGTGAGGACTCCTCTAGCAGGCATCTTCACAGCCGTCATAGTACTTCTCGCACTATATGCTTTAACCTCTGTGTTTTTCTACATTCCATCAAGCTCCCTAGCGGCTCTTATCATACACGCAGTTGGCGATCTCATTACTCCGCCAAACACCCTATACCAGTATTGGAAGACTTCGCCGCTTGAGGTATTCATCTTCTTTGCTGGCGTTATCTTAACGGTGTTCACGAATCTAGAGAATGGTATTTATCTAAACATGGCCGCATCGGCAGCACTTCTTCTATACCGATTAGCGAGATCATCAGGCAGATTTTTAGGACGGACCAAGACCATCACCGGTACCCTTCACGACCTTAATGCTGGGGGAAATGTCGGACAGACGAAAGATTCTTTCTTACCTTACGATAAATCCGACAGTTCGAATCCTAGTGTTCCTGTTGAGTCTCCTTTCCCAGGGGTCTTTGTTTATCGTTTCACGGAAGGCTTCAATTATACAAACTCATCCCATCATCTTGACATGCTCACTGTATACATTTACAAGCATACCCGGCGGACTGAACTTGATAAATATGACAAGATCGGAGTATGTTGTGAGACAGCTGCAAATTGACCCTTTACTGATCGTATGTGATGATAGGACCGACCATGGAACGACCCCGGCCCAAGACGGGGAAAGACAGTGTCAGATGATGTGGCTACTAGACCTATCTTGCGTGCTGTGATTCTCGACTTCTCCGCCGTCAACTTCGTCGACGTGACTTCCGTCCAAGCGCTAATCGATCTGCGCAATCAGTTCCAGCGATACGCCACACCTTCGACAGTTGAGTGGTACTTCGCGGCCGTCAACAACCCTTGGAGCAAGCGCGCACTCGTTGCTGCAGGCTTCGGTGCCGCGTCTCAGAGCGTTGATGGCGACAAGGAGATTACACCTGCCAATCAGATTGTCACCGTGGCACCTTCACAAGTGCTGACCGCAAAGAGCGATGCGAGTGGCTCTGTCTCCGAGAAAAAGCCTGGTGATGACCTGGAAGCTGGGGTCGCAATCACCCCTGTAATCTCCTCGCCTACAATTGGCGATGATGGCAAGCTGGTAGAGCAGCCACATGAGGATTACAATGGGAAGTTGGCCCCAGTTTGGGGCCTGAATCGCCCATTTTTCTTCATTGACGTAGCCACGGCTGTTGATAGTGCTATTCTCCATGCTCAATCCCGATAGCGAGATAGGCAAACGCTGTTGTTAACAAGGATCTGAGGCAAGGACTTGTCGGGATAGTAAATTTTTATTCCACCACTCCTTTACCAGCATTACGTTGGGTGCCTGATCAGTGCATTTATACTTGGTGAATAGACCTGTAAACTACCTGCACAGTTAGGTCATCGTGGAGAGCTGTTCAACGTGCGTCTTGATTTTGAATTGCTCGTTGGACGAACGTTACCAGCCCTGCTGACAGGACATGGCTGAGGTGAACCTGAACCAATCAAGTGGGCGACTTGGGAATCAAGACTGCCTATTTTGGAAAGGTCCTGCGATAATCTCGGTTCGGGTGTCTAGAGCCCTGATCAGCCACGTATTGATTCCAACAGCATTTTCAACCCATGCCTGTGCGTTCTGGAGGATTCAAGCCACTGACGACCCCAAATTGGAATGATGGCAGCGAATGGGAACCAACTCTCTTATACCTCGCGTAAGACCTTCGGTCATCACAAGTGCCTCGGCCACGGACAAGGCTACTAGACGCGAACGCTTCCATCTGCCATATTTTCAGTCCAGTCAGCACTCCAGTAGCACAGCCACCACCATCCCATTTACCCACAACCTAACCAACACTGCAGCCCAATGATTCCACTCAGTCACCCATGGTGTCTCGATGCTAGGATGATTTGTTTTTCGAATTACTTCTCGGTCATAGTCAAATTATAGCATCTGCTTTCGTGCAGTTTCAAGTTTTTCAGCTCGCTCAGCCTCTCCTTGGCTTGGCTATAGGTGCCTAACCATTCCAAATATCTAATTGATATCATGAGGTTTACATAGTGTTTTGGCCGAGGATCGTCAGGAGGATATGGGTATATAAGAGCAGCAACACTCGATGCATTGTCAACGGACTCACCATCTTACATCTCTCTATCAAATATTCAATCGAACTCAAAGCGATAAATAGTCCACTTCACAACTACAGCAATTTTACACCAATATTCTTGCTCCTTCAAACAAACTATGGCCTCGGTTTTCCGTAAGCTCTTCCGCCGGAAGAAGCAGCCACCTCTGGTGTGCGCAGTCCAGCTCGACATGGACAATGATCACACTCATCAGCATACAGCGGCGTGCTTCATCGACATTGAACCACTAGCCGTCGTCGAGCTCTTCCAATCCCAGGGCTGCCAGTCCTGTCCTCCCGCGATCCCCGGCATCCTCGAAGGCGCGAACAATCACAATCTTCAGCTACTTTCCTACAACGTCACTCTGTTTGACCATCTTGGATGGAAGGACACTTTCGCCAATACCCAATGGGATGCTCGCCAGCGTGCCTATGTTAGAAAATGGGCACGCAACAGCCTCTTCACGCCTATGGTGGTGGTCAATGGAATCGCCGATGGCAGTGGTGCTGGCGGGAAGGACGAGGTCGCTGATATCGTTTCGCGAGCACGTGGGCTGGGACACGCATTAGACTGGCACATCTACGTTGATGCCAACGACACTGATGTGAGGATCGACTCGGATAAGCAAGAAATCGAGCCTCATGACATTCTCGTGGTCGTCTTCGATGCTAAAAGCGAGAATATCAAAATCAAGAACGGCCCAAACAAGGGGAAGAAGGTTGAGCATAAAAACATTGTCAAGGAAATCATCAAGATCGGTGAATGGACCGGAGGAAACGTGGTTGTGCCCTTGCCTGTGGCTCGAAGCGCCATGGAGCCAGGGCTTGGTGCGGTTGTGATGGTGCAAGCACCATTAGGAGGCCCTATTGTGGGTGCTCAGAGGTTGTGATCACCTCTCCTATGATGAGCGCAAATAACTGTCATATGCGCTCATTCTCAATTGACGGGACGCTATTTCTTTTGTTTCTCTCTTATCAAGGGCAGTGGGTGGTGGTTCTGGACATGAGCAAGATTTAAGTAACAAGTAAACTAAGAATGCGTTCACACACAGTCCTGACTTATCGTCACACTGAAATGATGTCAATTTCCTGGTCATTCTCCAGCACCCCTGCATGTGTGACACCATCAATGTGACCTTGAAAAAGGCATATTAGCTCGATATCCCTCTAATCTCAATTCTTCTTGGTGTTACTTACTCCTGATTATGTAGCCCATCTCGATGAGCGCAGATCCCTCCAAAATAAAAAGCAGTAAATTAGACATTAAAGCAAAGCAATCCATAATATTCGGCCTGAATAAAGGAGTTCCGAGTCGGAACTAGTATTCAGGTGCCGGGTGGAGTTCTCGTAAACATCCAATGCTCATACCTTGTCGGCGAAGCCATGATGGTCCTGGAACTCTACAGAGACATTCTTGGATCCAACTCGCTTCCCATTGTGATAGACAGCAAAGTCGACCGAGCCTCCGGAACAAGTCATTTCGGTGTCATATTCCACTTTTGTGTAGACTTTACCGAGACTATTCTTGAGAAGAGGAAGGTTGATAAAATCAATCCTTATTTCCCAAACAATCTCGCAAAACTTGGTAACGGTCTTGTCACAGCGAGCAGATGCGGGAGAAGTCCTAGACATGTATATGGTTTGGCTAATAGAAGTCGGTGGTGTTTCAAATAGCCGGTAATAGCTATGTCGCACTGGGGTCTTCCCCACGATGTTCTCGCCCTTTGAGTATTGTCAGCTACTGTTTTACATTTTATGCCACTCTTATTCCAATGCTGACTTTCTTGAGAAACCATCTCATTTGGTTATTGGCCTTGTATTTCTGTTCCTTCGTATGCCAAAACTTATCTGTGGAGTCATGTTTGCCCGAATCCCAATCGGTATAGTACATTACCCCATAGCTCGACCGAGATACGCGTGATTCGACATGAACTGCAAATGCAGGATGCAAGTTCTGTGTCGTCAAGGCATGAATGACAGCCCCTCGGCAAATAGCCGTCCACTACAAATCTAGGGTCAGTTGTTGCTTATGAGACCAGCGTGAGAGTTTGAAAAAGCCGAGTGGAGATATCCCGAGAGTGGTGTTCAGGTTGAGACAATTTCGATCTCAAAAACTCAAACCATGACTCTAGGAGGTGTACTTGAACAGTAGAGGTTACTTGACTTACTGGTCCTGTTCCCCGAGATTGGAGGATTTCAGGGGTAAACCTCAATTTAAGGTCCTCAAAGAGATATTTGCATCGTCCAAATCCACCAACCAAGATGACATACTAATGGGTTCACGTCAGTAACTCCATCTGATAGAAGAGTGAGAGAATCTATGGCTTTGAAAAAGGTGATAGCACCAAAGAGAGCTGAAAATCCAAATGTCACACTAACCTTCGGAGCCTTATGCTCCGATTTTGTCACTTTCTCGATCTGGTTCTCGATAAGGTCATGAATCTTGTTCATGACCGGCCGAAACACACCACACATATCGTCTGCATCAAGTTCGATTTTGGGCCACCTCTTCAAAGACTTCCTCTCATGAGAGTCGATGCATTCGAAGGGATATTGGATTGTCCAAGTCCGCTCTTGGCCGAGGAATTGTTTCTTGATGCCGTGTTCCCAGTCATCGTTCAAGATGCGTTGACGACTGGTCGATGTCATCTTGTCCCACGATGCTTTGCCCATCTTCAACTCGAGGAGTCTCGCGAAGGCATCGTCGACAAAGACAGCTCCGCAAAGCCCACCCTGGCCTGTGACGCATTCACGGACAGTCATAGGCTCCGTACTGACAATTTTATAGCTTATGATATCCACGGTTCCACCACCACAGTCGACAACTACGAAGGTATCCTCTTTCTTGAGATTTTATCAGTGAAATAATGTTATGTAGTCATAGGTGGAAAATACCTTAATATCAGGGCGCTGTGTCAAATCTGAAAGAGTTGCAAGTGCAGCAGCTTCAGGTTCAGATACGAAGGTAAGTGAAGTTTCTGCTTCCAGGCGCTTTTGGACGATTCCAGCTAGAATTGCGGCCTCCCGCATCCGAGATTTTGCGTACTCGGGCCAGATAGCTGGAAGTGTGATGACGACATGATGTTGGGAGTAATTCAGAACCGCCTTGCCGACAGCCGTGGTGATAATTTGGATCGCATGATTCCAGAGATGGCGCAGGTACAAGCCAATCACCTCGATAGCCGTCTTATTTATGTTTCTGAGGTATGCGCGAGCTTCTCGGAGCTGTGAACTTTCTCGGACGTCGTTAGGTAAGTCTTTCTCCTCGATCAGCAATAGCTTGAACCATCTCAAGGGAAGCTCGTCTGGATCAGTCGCATAGCCCCACGAAACCTCTCCTCCAGGCGTTTTGCTAATGTTGATAGCACTAGGTACTTTCTCGTTGTCAGAGTTGCTATATTCTCTAGACTCCCAGCTCGTGATGATCTCGGTGTGCTCTACTTTGGACCATGTCCATGCAACACCGGAATAGCTGGACTCGGTCAGCGGGTACTCTTAAATGCCTAATGGAAGCTCCACCTACGTGGTACCAAAGTCGATGCCAATCACAATATTTGGGTCTGCGTCAGAAGGCGCCATGATGGCGGGCTCTCAATGTCGAGGTAGGAATCCGAAAGCTGGATGTGGTTGGGGTTTGGCAAAGCTGACGTGAGGGAAGGGAGTTCGTGGTAAGGAATAGATTGAGAAAGGAAGTGGGGCAGTTTGTTGGGATAGAGCAGATCGCAAACGCAGGTGTAGCTTTCTAAGAGGAATCTGGAGTGAAAGACGTGAGTGAGCGGGTCTGCGGAAGGTGCAGAGTGGCGGGATGATGTGGATGTGACCTCTCACTGCGCGAAGATAAATCTGTCAAGCTGGCACGACTCCGTAGTGGGTGGTCAAGGTTTTGTAGAAAGAGAGGAGACAAGTCTTCTTAATGTGGTGGAGTGGGAGATCGTTATTTAAGCCGTCGAGGGTGAGGTTGCGAAACTATTGTCTGCCGGGAAGACAGTTCTCAGAAAGAAAATAAAAAGTTGAAGCGCAGGCTCGAATGTTCTTGGAGAAAGTAGACATCCAACCTGTCCTTTGACCTGCTCGCGGTTCACTTTTACGTCAGGTTGGTATTTACTAGCCGAGTTTTGCCCACAAGCCCAGTGTTGGGGGAGTTCATTCGACCTCAAACCTCGCATCGAACGGCCAAGGTTCTTTCGAATGAGGTTTTCTTTATTTGTGTTAGTTGACAAAGCTTTCAGAAACAAAATGATTCACTTGCTCTTTCATATCGACTCCGAGTGGAAGCCGATCCCTAATTGTCCGCCACGCCCATGTCTTGCCCGTTCCAAGCTTGCCCGCCCAATATGCTGTTCTTGCCATTCGTTGAGACCTAGCCACACGTTCATGGGCATATTTTTCCAATGGCGTTCGGAAACCATCTCCCTTCGTCGGTCTGTCAAGATGCTTTAGAAGATTTCCGGCGAGCACAGTAGCATCTTCGACTGCAAATCCGGTGCCTGTGTACAGTAAGCAACCACTTTTCCAACTGATACACTTGCTAACCTTGTCCACTACTAGGGAGCATCAGCCTGGCTGCATCCCCGATCAAAGCGATACTATCTAAATGTATTTCGTCTGCCTTCCAAACTCGTTGCCTCAGGGGGCTACGAATAACTCTTTCTGCATTTTCGAGAAGACCACCAAATGAACCAGCGAGTGGATGGTAAACCCCAGCATGCTTCCTCAATAGTTCAACAGTAGAAGCCCTCGGATATGCACTAGGATAAATGGATCGCTCCCAGCCAAATCCAGCAGGTGTACTTGCCTCGTCGCCTTTCAATGTATATGGCGAAGGCGGTGCTGCTGTCTCAGGAAGAACTAAATCCCAGCGGATCTTGCCCCCAGGAAGCCATGCTGTAGATAGGTACCCCTGATCCAACCAGATGCCATGGATTTCTGTTGTGCGTGGATCACTGGGGTCGAGGAAGTATCCAGAAGACATTCCATAAAACCCTGTTAAATTCATGAAGTCGGGCAGCCATCGATCTTCAGCTGTCAACGGATCTCTCTGTGACAGAATGAACCTTCTCACGTATGAGAATCCTCCATCTGCTCCGACGAGAAGATCTGCATATATTTCAAACCCATCATCGAAGCGAAGTCTTGTGCCTGTACCCACTGTCTTGATAATTTCGATCCTCCGGTCCCACCGGACCTCGCCTCCCCGTTTACGGACAGCCTCAAGCAACAGAGCCTGCAACCTGTTACGCTCAATTGATCTCGGACCTGTTTGCAACTCGGCACTCCAGCAGGTGTTCTTGCAGCCATTCAGGTATCTGTATAAGCCAGGACTGTCTCCATCGCCGAGACTCCCTCTCCAGACGCGGATACCGGCGAACTCAGAGCTCGCCTCATGCAGCTTATCTCTCAAACCCAACTGATATAATGGGTACAATCCATTCGAGAAGATCCCAATCGCGGCGCCTGCAGATGGTCGATGCCTCTTCTCCTCATCGGAAGACACTGCTGCTGGGTTTGGTGAGTGGTCAAAGAGAATGGGGCGGAAGCGCGCTGCAAGACGCGCGTGAGATAGCAGCTGCAATGCCAAAGTAGGTCCAGCGATACCTGCGCCAATGATACACACCACTTTACGCGGCAGACTGCCCATCGTCCATTCGATGCTTTCGACCTGGTGTTGAGGATCAAAAATGTTTAGGTAAGGTCGCGAGCTAAGACGTGGACCCTCGCACCCGACCTCTCCGAGAGGGTTAGGGTTATATGAAGACAGGCTCTGGTTCCCAGAGCGTGTACCTGTCCCTTTTTCGACGTTTATGAAGCACAACTCGTGCCAAAAATTAGACGACATGGGCGCTATGAGTTTATTGTTCATTAGTAGTCGCAACACATTGCTATTATGCTAGGACTTGAAGTAGACCACATGTAATTATCGAGCTTAGAGCTTCATATTTATGTACGACTAATGTCAGGCCTCAAAAGTCTAGATAAGTGAGATAACCAAGTTGCAGTCACCAATGTCGTGAATCAGAATCTAGATTTAACAACTTTAGCTAGACTTCTCCTCTCAGATTACTCTGTAACGCTCGCGTTCTCTGCGATTCGGATCTTGTCGTCAGGTGAGTCGGCCTCATCTTGACGCTTCTGAAGATCTCCAATCTTCACTCTCCTTCTGGCATCGACGTACATCATGTACTCCTGGTATGTATGCGGCAAGACCTTGACGTCCCTAGGGACAGAAAAGGTGTAATTGAACTGCCCTGTTGAATTGGCATTGCCATGTTCAACATCTCGGACCTTGCTGTCGACGCGGACATGCACACGCGTCATTGGATTCTTTGGGTCTTTCTGCTGTGGATCGCTGCCATCTTCCTCTAGCAATGGTGGATCGGTGTATGCCACAGTCGCAGTCAGATACAGCACACTACCAACCGGAACAGGATTGCGGAAGGTGCAGGGATCGGCACTGATAAATGTAGGGCGTGCATGCGCGAAACTGGCAGCACAGCAGAAAGCCAGCTCGAAGGTCTGCTTCAAGTGATAGCCACCAAAAATCATCGTTTGGTGCCTATTGCGGTACTGCGGCTGCATGATGGAAGCTGTCGAAAGCTGTGTCCTGGACATAGCCACCACGTTTGATGGCTGTCGCAAACTCTTGTTTGGGTCGTGGTACTCGACCTGCTTCAGCCAGATCTTGTGAATCAGGGCCGATTCAGGGTCATTGGGCTCCTGCTCGAGAAGAGAGTTCTTAAGCATTTCTTTCTTGGCCAGAGATTTCGCCTCGCCGGCCTTGAATATCTCCTCCTCCTCGGGGGTAGAGCAGATGAGCTTTGGCACATTGGTTGGTTTCTTGGTTACAGGGTCCAAAGCAACCATTGTGAAGGTGCATGTCAGCAGTACGTCTTCCGGCTTGCTGGGCTCGCCTTCTCCTCTAGCTCTAGCAACCTTACATGTGATTTCTACACTACTTCGGCCGGTTGCGTAGGTTACTTGACCACTGTATTCGAGATCGCAAATCTCTGTAAGTGGGTGAGCTATCGTGATGCGGTCCAGCGCAGCCGTCACAGTAGTGACACCCGGACCGGTATGCTTGTACACAACGATGCCAGACAGGGCATCAAGGTCCATAAAGATTGTACCAAGCCTATGCATTGGTGTCAGTGCGATTCACACGGTCTCATAGCTGCGATCCTACCGTATATGGCCCGATGAATTGATATATGTATCAGAGAGCCATGGATCTCGTCCAAGTGGAAGAACCTGCAAAGGTGAGTCAGAATTTCTAATGATAGCGACACCTCTGTCCAGCAAGACCGAGGGCTTACCACTCGATGATAGCTGTCGCTCATCTTCTTCGGCGACAAGTCGCGTTCGTGATGATGTGCCTCCGCGAATTCAAGAGACTGTCCGTCTTGCTGTAGTCTCCATGCCTCGATCCAGGGTGTAGGCAGCCGATTGTCTGTCAAGCCTCGAAAAACGCCATCGGTGCGCCTAGGCGATCCAGCGCGAAAGCATCTCGCTTGCACCCGCGGACGCGTCGCAGTATCCAGACATCGCGCAGAGGAGAGCAGCCTCCTGGCCGTCGTACTCCTCGAAGCCATGACGAGTACCTTCGTGCGGGACAATGGCCGCCTAAATGTGAGTTGAAGTGAAAAGACGCTCGATTCAGTTTGTCTAACGCGAAGCGATCTTACTCATGGCTACGACTTCTTCCGAAGCACACGCTAAATCGGCTCTCACACGCTGGTCGGCAGTGGGTCCAACTGGCGGGGTTCAGCGTCCGCAGAATGGCGCTAGAACGTTGAGTACCTCTTTGACACTTCATTCCTTTCACCACCAGCATAGTCAATGAGCTCACCACCGTGAAAGTGGGAGTCTTCATCCTCAAATTTGAATGAAAAGAGCGGGACAGGTCTTCTTGAATCTCATTACAGTATTTTGAAGTATCATGGTAAAGAATTTAACACCATTTCCCCTGTGCTCTTCTGAGAGGCAGGGTCGGTCAGTTAGACAGGATGTGCAGCAATCGACGCATCCTTGAGGCAGAACATCCCAACGTGCTATGTTCCTTTAATATCATCATCAATTGTAGATCGTAATCTGCCTACGTACGCCGCATTCATTTATTTCGAGTTCAATGCTCGCCTGAGGGAAGCGGTGCATCTTTGTCCTTCTTGTACCTTTGAGTTCCGCAATAGTGTTAGTCGAGTGTGTGCAACCCTTTGTTCACATATTGCGTCCGAGTATAAGCCAGCCTCATCGCATGATAGCACATTTGTGTGACTAACTTTTCGATTTCAAGAGATTGCAAGCTTCATTGAAAAGGAGCAACTTTATAACTAATAAAAACGTCTCGCTGTGCACGACGCAGCAATAAGCCAACGATGCCACCCAAAATACCATCAAATGTCCAGCCGGCAGCTTCTAAGGATGCTTCCATTGTGTCCAAAATAGCACGAAAACGCCGCCGAGAAGACGACAACCCATTCGTCGATGAAGTCAAGAAGCCGAAACACAGAAATGAGAGAGACGAAGAAGTGCTTATGTTGGCAACTGGATATGGTCCCATCATACCTAATGGAGGTCTGAAGACTAGTTGGGTCGGTGCTAGATTTGCCAAGAAGACTTCTACCAAAAGGGGGGGGTATCAATCAACGGTGAACTCCAAAGGCTACCAACCTCTAAGGAAGGACGGAAAGGTCATCGACGTGTCTGCTAAAGCAAAAACACACGGCCTTCCTCACGGGGGCAGGTTGATACATACATCCGCGGCGGGCTTTCTCTGTGGTCTCTACTCGCTCATAAACAGCATAGCAGCACAGTTTCCAGAGTGGCATGTCCCTACCATCAAAGAGCTCCAATCACTCTTGAACACGCCAGAAGCACGAGAGTTCAATAAGGGAACGCAATACGCAGGACTGAATTCGACGAATAACCTGCGAATTGACCAGATTGCTCTTATCCTGAAACAATGGGGTCTAAAGAGAAATCCTCAGTTACATCTGCGTCTTGGTGTAATTGTCGAAGGTGTATCAGAGCCAACTCTGCCGCCTATGGAGGACTTCCCTGATACCATATGGGTCTGGATATACAACGATGGTCATAGTTTGGAAGATGAGAGTGACCAAGATGACGATGTGGACGTTGAGAATGCTGCGACAAGAAAACTTGGTCACTACTCGGGCATTAGTCCAATGCAGTCATCATCGTCAGCACAGGTCAGTCCCTCCGGTAGACTTTCACAACTTGGAACAGCACTGAACATGGTTATAGGCATAGGTGAACCTCCCAAACATCGACGAAGACGGGGACCGTCATCATCTCCCAAAGAAGGTCGAAAATGGCGCAGAAACGCCAGTCTCACAGATCCCGACGGTTACATTATACAGAAATGGCAGGGGCTCGACAAGCGCATCAAGGCTCTCATAAACAATACTTTCCTACATGCATGTCACGAGGTTTCACTTCCGATAAATGATTTCAAGAGTTCCAATACTACTCTCACATGGCCAACAGGATCATACAGTCTCGAGCGTACTGAACCTACATCATTCAGAGACATTTGTGGCAGGCCTTCACGTAGTGCATTTTTGCAGCGAAGTCCAGATACTGGGCCGGCAAGCACAAAGGTCATAGAGAGAAGGACTATGTGCACGACAAAGCTAAAGTGCTCCTGAAAAAGCAAGATAGCCTCTATCACGTCAATATCTATCGCTTCGCGACATCGTCTAACCTTACTACTAATGTTGACAGTTCATCCCCTGAGAAGGACACCATGATTCAAGCCTCTTTAAAGTCCCTCTTGGGGAGCTTCTGGGGCCACCTCGGGTCTTCAGCGGGAAATGGCGGTTCTGATTGAAGATCGTGTCATTTTCGTGCGATGCGCCGCAAAGATCGACATCATGTTGAGGTCTCAAAACACCCAGTATATCGTCTTATTCCCCGAGGCTGGTTGTGTCTTCGAAGAACAGGCCAGCTCTCTCCTTGGTAGTCCAGGGTCATTGCCAGATGCCCTCAAGAAGCTGACCACTTTGGCGGTGACACCGACGTTAGTGAAGATCACGAACTTTGCGGAACCTCGCATGACAGACTCTGGAAATAGTTACACAATCAAGGCAGGAGTCTTTAGCAATTTGCAAGAGCAGTTTTTCAAGGATCGCCGATAGGCTGATGGGGATGACTGACGTTGCTTGATGGAGACTGGTTCCTCAGCGATGGTGTGTTTCGTTTCCAGTGCATGTTCCTTTAACTATTATTTAGATCAAGTCTCAAGTTAGTGTGTTGGTGTCTATGTTTTTTTTAATATTTCTATATCCAAATCTAATCAAGCTTAGAAAATCATTGAAGCTAAATACTTGAACTAAACTTCCCACGATCTTGGATTTATTTCCAAACATAACATGAAACGGATAACTGGTTGTGAAGTCGCCTGGAACCTGGCGGAGACTTGTGCCCAGGTCGATGCTCTTCCCTGTATCATCAGCTTGTGCGAGTGCAACGTGACGTGAGTCATCGGCGTTAATCGTCTCGTTGTGAAGCTCGAATCTCACCCAGTCCTACTCTAACGTCACGGAATTGACACGAAGAAATTATGCAGCCTCAGTAACGGAATGAGACAATGCTTACATGTAGGTATTCAATGCGCGACGATGATTCCTGTGGAAGATAAGAAAAGACGAAAAAAGTTGAACACCTTTAAGGACGCCCGAAGTAACTCCGATCTGTCACTATGGAGGCACGTGGTTACACGCTGAATGGCTGCCTGATAGACGTGATCCTTGTGTATGCTAGGTACAACTTGATTCCCTTGGTACCCTAAGACTTGTGCAATTCAAGCGACTTCTTAATCAGTACCAGTGGCCGTCTGCGGCCGTCGTCGCTTACTCGTCCTTTTCCAGAGTAGCACTGGATAGTCTCTCGATCCCATTTCCGGGCCTTTAAACTCTGATGCTATTTATGTCACCCTGTCTGATCTTTGATGCTTTCGGCAATCCTAGTTGGAGGCCTCATTGGCTCTTACTTGGGCCGAGTCTATGAGCAAAGTGTGAATGTTCAGTCTTTGATCTGGAATAAATAAAGTCTAGCTATGAAAGTCTCTGAGATCTCATTGACTAAATCTGATACCCAGTAGTCTGCTAAAATGAGCCATGTTGGTAGTTGACTTCAACTATATATGGCCCTCTAATGAGAATGGAGAAAATCCAATAAGCCAGTACTGCGAGGCCAGCGCGACGAAACGTGTCTGTGCATCAGCGTGCTTCCCGTTGGCTGTCTGGGCGTTGATCACGTCGCCTAGGTCAAAGACGTTGGCGCAGCCCATGGCCTGTAGCGTATTTTTTTGTCTACCTTCACGCGGCCGTCAAGATCGAGCATTGCCGCTGGGACGAAGGCCGTATTAGGTCGCACGCCAAAGGTTTGTATATAAAGGTTCGTCTCGAGAATTGTCGTGGCTAGGTTCGTGTCCATCTCATTGTTGTTCTTGCCGCCCGTCCCTAAATCTAGAACCCGCTTGCCCGTCGGCGTCGTCGTGGCGCTCATGACCCGTGTGTGTGTCATAATCTTGACATTTAGAGCCTCCAGCTCGCCTGCCACCTCGACGCCCGTCAAGCCAGCGCCGGCCACAACAATGGATCGCGCTGCTGCAATTTTCTGGCGAAGATTATGTGTCTCGTTTTTAGTGGTCGTTGTATCATTAAGATTTTTGAAGGGCATGGCTTTCTTGAAGAAAGATCCGGTAGCGATAACAGCGTGTTGTAGTCGATAATTCACTCGCTGCTGTTCGTCTTCACAACCACTCGGTGTGCCTCGGGGTCTAGACTTTGTGCCATGCCTACTACATGCTCGAATTTGGTTGCCCCGTACTTGGCGAAGCCCGGCCAAAGGGGGTGGAAGATCTTCTCGTAGCCAAACATGTCTGACAGAATGGCGCGAACCGTTGCATAGGTCCACAGAAACTCTTCGTTGGGACTAGCCAGCACCACACGCAGGCCGACCGACGCCGGCGTGTGTTTCAAGAGACGGTGGGCGAGCGGAACGCCTGCCAAGCCGGCACCGAGCACCGCAACCGTGTGTGCTGTAGTAGGCGATGTTGTGTCTGTGTCGATGAGTTACTGAGGCTTTTTCCCAGCCCAGAGTATCCGGAAAAAGAGTGGACTAGCGAGTACCAGTAAACCCGGTATCTGGTAGTAAGAAGGCTCTGCGAGCATTTTCTTGTGGATGACGGTGATGTAAAAAGGGGGAAAGTGGCTTGTCAGGTCGCTCAGATAGAGTGAAGAGTGGTGGGGTTAGATTGATTATTCATTGAGACCACAACATGGTAAAGACATTCCATGGTCTTTACTTGGGCTTTGAACAACTGGCTTGAAGGAAATACCTGAGTACATACAATACTCCTTCAATGTCAGGCGGTATTACTCCGTGATAGTCGCAACGTCTGTGCGCAAGAGGGATGTCTGTGCGCATGTGTATGTGGGGGTGTCTGTGCGCAATATGCCTGTCTGGGCAATCCCTAAGGCCGACTTAGGAAGTGATTGTCTGCCGTTGGTCTAGGGTCGTCCCTTGAGCTCCACTCCCATAATAGGCCATATCATGGAAGTCCGAGCCAGATTGCTGCAGAGAAACTTGGAACATGGCATGTTCCTAGGTGGCCGTTCCTAGGTAGCCAGCCATGGACGCCACACAATCTCCATGAACTCCATGACCTCGATCACCTCCATGGACGCCATGGACGCCATCTCAGCGCTCGATACCGCTGCGTGCATCCTCTCCATCACGGAGTTTATCACAAACCTCTTAACTTCCCCAGACTCTCCAGTACAGCCACTGTTGTCATTGAATCGCGAAGATGAGCCCACAATTTCAATTTTAGAAAATGTCAAGACTTTGAAAGCCGCATTATGCGACATTCAAATGCCTTCTGTGCCGCAGGTTTCTGCGAATGCATCCCAACCTACAAGCAATGTACCAGCTTTGCAAGATCTTGTTTCTGCTCGGGATGATTCCTCGGCGCTGCTAGAGAATATCGAAAGTATACTGAGATCATTAGCCGATGATCCGAGATCGCAGCCATGGGAAGATGACGCGAGAGCCTGGTTGAGATCTCAGCTCGCGGATGCAAACTGCGTTCAGAAATCAGAGCAGCTTTCTTATGCTGTGACACATCATGTTAGCTTTATTCTCAGGTATGTGGTGCAGAGTTCCATGTTCTAAGCAGCGTTCCTTTTCATTTCCAATTTAATAGCACGAATGGAAAAAGTCTTACACAAGATGCTAGCTCTCGAATATCCGACCTGAGCCAAACCGTAGAATCATCGGAGAGTAAAGTGCGATATACCAGACCAGAACACGAGTCTCAAATTGATGTCATGTCTCGCGACTTAGAAGATCTGAAACGAGAAGTGCAGAAGCGGTCGGTGCACCGAGATCCAGGCCTCTCGACGGCATTCACGGAGTCAGATATCAAAATGTTTAGAGCCCAGTTGGCAGGCCTGACCGAGTTAGAAAAGTCCTTGCTCGCCGATACAATTGTGTCCAGCCTGAATTACAATAATCGGCCTATCCGCCTCGATTCTATCCCCCAGGCACACAAGGATACCTTTCAATGGGCTTTCGACTCGAGACTCTCGGATTGGTTCCGCGCTGGGAGCGGGACTTTCTGGATCTCAGGCAAGCCAGGGTCAGGTAAATCCACCTTTATGAAATTCATATCCAAGCATCCTCGGACAAGGGAGCTGTTGGCAGGCTGGGCAGGCTCTTCAGAATCGCTGGCTGTTGCGGCACATTACTTCTGGATCGCAGGTACGCCCATTCAGAAATCCTGGCAGGGACTTCTGCAATCTCTACTCTTCGACCTCCTTCACGGACACCCACACGCTATCTCCCTGGCCGCCCCGAACCGCTGGGCAGCCGCCAGAGTTGGACGGTGGGATACCGCGGCAGAGCCTTGGTCCGTTTCCGAACTCGCCGCAGCGCTACGAGCTCTGGCAACTGCTAACAACCTGTCGCTAAAGATGTGTTTCTTCATCGATGGGCTCGACGAATACGACAGCAATCACTCCGAACTCTGTGAGGTTCTCCATGATATGGCGAGCTCTCCTCATATCAAGATGTGTTTATCTAGTCGTCGATGGCCTGTATTCGAGAGAACTTTTGGTGGTGACGGCCAGGAGAGCCTTGATATTCATGAGCTCACACGGAACGATATTCGGAAATTTGTAAATGGCCAGCTGCAATCCCACTCCCGCTGGACTACCGAGGTGCCCGAGCAAGTCACTTTAGAGAAAGCTGAGCTCGTAGATCGAATAGTGGCCCAGGCGGATGGCGTGTTTCTTTGGGCCTTCTTCGTGACGCGGTCGTTGGGCGAGGGCCTCTCCAATGACGAGAGCATCGGAGACCTGAAAATCCGTTTCGGCCAACTACCGTCAGATTTAGACCAGTTGTTCCAACACATGCTAGAGAGTGTGAACCTGGCTGACCATCCTAAGATGGCAGGTATCTTGCAGGCCGCAGTTCACGCGCTCGAGCCTCTCCACGTCGACCTGTACTGGCATCTGGAGAAAGATCTTGACGGTTACGATTCCAAATCTCATGGTCTGATGAAGTCAGCCCCTGAAAATATCGCCGCCCGCAGAGAGCAGACTGTTCGTAGCATCAACCAGAAAACAAAGGGCTTGCTCAGTATTGTACACGAACGAGCCGAGTTTCTCCACAGAACCGTGAAAGACTTCTTCTTGACCAAAGATATGGGGGAGTACCTTCGCAGCAAGCTCCCAGCGGACTACAATGGTTTCGCTTCCATCGCTGCCGCGTATCTTAGTTTCCTCAGAACCACACGTCAGGACCATCCGCTTGTCGCAGGTGTCATACGACAGGGACGTGGCCTGAATACTGGCCCATTCATCTCGCATCTAAATCAGGCCCTGGTGTACACGTCAGAAGCTCTGAAACAGACAGATCAGGCCGGCTCTCACCAACACCGGCAGGTAGAGAAACTGCTAGACCAATACGAGGCAGCCATCGTGACCATGGTGAACGTCGGCCAGGTCAGCATTAGCGGAGTCAATTTTCGGGACTGCGACCCCAGACTAGTCTTCCGCGAGGAGTTGCTGAGGCACGACCTGGCACCCTATCTCGTCAAGAAGATCCGCGAGCAGCCCGAATTCTTCGCCGTTTTCGATGAGTCGCCGCTGTTTGCCGCACTCATGCCCATGTCGCGCAACAGTGGCGATAGTCCTCCGCCCGCGTCAGAGATTCTCGACCTTCTCCTGCAGCGCGGCGAAGACCCCAACGTGCGACCCCGTCAGCCTGGGGCCGGGCCCGCATCGGACGACACGGCATCGCCGTGGGTGCTCTTCGCACGGAGCACCATGTCCGTCTTCAACATGCTGTCCGGGCCCTGCATGTTCCCGGCCTTGCGGTGGAATGAGTGTCTGAAGCAGGCGACCTTCAACCGCCTGATGGCCCATGGTGCCGACCCCAATGCAAAGCTTCTGGACCGCTGGGGCGCGCACACCGTCTTCTCGCACTTCCTGGACATCTCGCTATCCAAGTTCCTCGGCGAGGAGTGCTTTGAAGACTACCTCGGGACTCTAGACGCGTTCCTGCGGGTGGGCGCGAGCCTCGGCGTCCCCGATCCCGCTGGCGCAGCAGGCGCGGGTGCCGAGACGGCGTTTGGCAACCTCGCGAGGCGGCGACCGGAGGAGCCTGTGCTAACGTCGTTCTGCACCGAGCTCAAAGGCCTTCTAGCGAGATTTGCAGCGGATCCGAAGCGGGCCATGTTCATCTCGTCGGTCTTGAAGAAGCTCATTGTGCACTGCTCTGGTAGGGAAGAGGCCCTGAGAGAACTGGACTCGGCGATTTCACAGGGCTGTCCTGCCGATATTGCGGCACCCCTGTCCCAGCTGATCAGCTCTGAGATAGAGGATCGCCGGGAACAGGAGTCGACGCGAAAGAGACTCCCAAATGGTGACTGGGATAGCGGGTCATCTGGATCTAAGCACCTTAGGCGGGCGTAAAGGCAATGGTGAGTACCTAAGGATTGGCAGGCAAGACAGAGTCCAACCGAAAGATAGATGAACGTATTTCCTGTAGTGAAACAAGCATGTAGTAGGTAACCTGCTTGTTTTAAGGTCCACTAGAATCTAGTGTCCCAAGTACTTAGTAACATGTGATTGTAGTCGTTCAATAACATGTCAGTTTCAGGTTGCCTAAGGTCGGTACTACGCTGTTTCTCGCCGTAAATTGGGCCGGCATCGTCATGTGGACAGACGTCGACATCAATCAGATACTCTGTCAAAGGTCTGAGTTACTCAACTCAGTCTAAGCTTAGAATCAGCTTACCCTAGGATGGTGACAGTTCACTTTTCAGTACGGACACGGATATTGGTACGCTTGAATTTCGTCTCGGCATACATAAGCAAGTTGATCAGACGAGTCTCCTTTGTTCCCCAATCGGGATGCAATGGTACTTCAGGTAGGGAGGTAGGGCTGCATGTCGGCACTGAAATGCCCGCGGCTAACCTTGGGTTGGTTAGCGGGCCCGATACGCCACCACAAAGCGTGCCTTGAACCCCCACGCGCCCTGTTTCACCAAACACACCTGCACTCACACAAGGCTCAGCCCACTGCTACTCTTGGTTGCCTTGGACTATCAAGTGACCGATACAATCAGTCACGATGAGGCTGAATATGATAGAGTATGTCTCATACCGAGGCACAGCCCACTCGGGACTGAGGTTGCCTGCCTCGGGGGAAGATATGTGCTACTCTTCTTCTGGGGGATTTCCCTTGGCTCGAGGACGAACGACGACATCGAAAGCTCGCACAACAAAGACATCGTGTTCGAGTATTACAAGGATATCTTCTATTTGAAGCGAAATGCCTCTCATGTCTGAGCCATCAGAGACCTCTCCGCTTCTCGCGAACTCGGAACAACCTCACGAACCTGACACAAATAATCAGGAACTATGTGATGTTCCAATGGACGATTCACTCGACACAGCGCCATCAGTGCCGGCCCTGCCCAAGGTTGACACCAACATCTCATGGCCAACTCCCGCCGGTCTCCCACCGCGGGGTCCCAATGATGAGAACCTCGTCATCTTTCGTCGAGCCCTGGGCATCAACTCCCACCTCTCAACCTCTACTGAAGGTGGCACCCTCGAGCAGGGCCGAAAAGCCGCGGTCGGCGTCTATCGAGCCGTCCTCCACGAACAAACAACGAAGAAGCGGCAGCACCGCATCGTCGGCGTTCTAATATACCTCTGCTACTTCGCCCAGATCGTCATTGGCGCCGTGCTAACGGCACTGGGCCCAGCAGCCGCGCATCATGCCTTGACGATAACCATTCTCGGCGCTGTTAATACCATCATCGCAGGAGTCTTGGCCCTTATGAAGGGACAAGGCCTTCCGGAGCGTTTGCGTAAAGACGAGATTGAGTTCCGCAAGTTGCAAGATTGGATAGAGGAAACCGAGTCTCTTCTCGCAGTTGGCATCATCGGACGAGACAGGAAGGAGGTTGGTTTTCTTGTTGAGGTGGCTTTCAAAAAATATAATGCAGCAAAAGCCAGCGAGGAGAACAACAAACCCGACAACTATGTCCGGCAAACACCAGAGGCGAACAGTCGCCCAAATTCGGCAGCAAGTGAGAACAGTACCGGGAATGCCATTGTCAGACTGAATGTGAAGTAACGTATGATGGAATTTGGGTGAGATTCTGGATGAGATTTAGCAAGCGTTGGATTTAATGGTTATAGACGCTAGATGCTTTCTTTGCGGTATTTCGAGGATACCACATTATGTTGCATTAGATTTATTCAAGGATGGTTTAAGGTCTTTTCTCAATTCACTACTCATAAGAGCATAGATAATAGACATCACAACTGCTTGTTTCGATCATTCATCCTTCTACTCCCGCACTCTCATCGTATGTCTCTCCCATCCACCTCTTCCCGATCCCAACACCTGTTAAGGGCGAGCTGTCTGTCACGCCCTTGATCTGGTTGCCACACCATTCATGGATGCCATATCCGCCTGCCAGTGCAACTCCGAAGCCCTCCTTCGGCACGATCTGTCCGTCTTGCTCCGTAACGCCGTCCGCCCCATCACCCCATAGGTACAAGGGGTCAACTGTCCCGACCGCGATAGAGCACAAATCACTGTTCTCTTTCTCCCAGCTAATGAAGCCACCGCAGGTGGCACAAAATCCGCGATAGGCACCGGTGCTGGCCGAATATTTCTTATACTGCGGAGGCGGCTCCTGGAAAGGAGCAGCTTCAGGTTTGAGCCAGGCAAATTTCGCTGGTGGATCAGCCCGCAGATAAGGATAGAAGAGCGAGCCAGTGTTACGCCTGCATTGTGTGCATTGACATGTGCCAGTCTACTCGGCATTAGAAGCAGCAAATTGACAAACTACAAGGAGAAACTCACCATCTTGGTAAATTCGAACTCGTCGGCAAAGTCGATCCTGTAGCGCACGGCGCCGCAGAGGCAGCCGCCGGTGACGAACTTGGGCTTTGGAAAGTCAGGAACAGAAGCCATGGCGATCTAGATCACGGAAGCATGAAAACAACAGTAAAAGCCGAGTTATGGCAGATTATTCATATTACATGGCCATGTATATATACCAATCTATCTTGGCTTTATGTGGAAAACGCATGCAAATCTATGGCGCTGCCGACCCAGTTGTCAAGTACGCCTTTCGCTGCTTGTGGTGGCGTTTCATGGCCTAACACGCCTTTCCCACGATTCTCCTCTATCAGTGACGATGGATAATGAATCTATGAGTTCATAAAACTATCCGGCACTGGCGAATGACAGAAAAGATCTAAAAGATAGAACGATGCAAGATCGATAAGAGCTATCATAGATAATGAGCATCTGATCTAGTGATCCTAGGTAGTCCGGCAGCACTGTCAGCCACAGGAGCGGGTATCGGTGTTGCTCTCGACCTGTAGGATGGCGCCAGAATGCCCGATAAGGAATCTCAATTCGTGCCGCAATAATGAATCCGAAAAGATATTGCTCGTTCAATTGAAAGACAACAAAGCATGAATGATATTATCTGATCATTTCAATGCAGATTTGTATATCCTACCAGTCCCATTGATAAACGCCCTGTGATATCCCAATTCCCGGTTCGACTGCCTCTTGTCATGGCCATGAACATACACCTATGCACCTCTGCTCTCCTCCACGATCTTACGCTTCTCCCGCGCCCTACGTGCTGCCAGCTCGGTCCTCTCCTCGGCACTGAATAGGCCGTTGCCACTCTTCTCTCCCAAGTTGCGCTTATCCATATATTTCTTCCCCAGCCACTCCAGCTGGTTCTCACTGTGCAGCTCTGGCTTCTGTTCTAAATAGTGCGCCTCGACTTTGTGAATGGTGTCAAGTCCAATCTCGTCCATCTTCTCGCACGGGCCCTTCTCGGCGTGGAAGAAGTCTCGAAACAGCTCATCGACATCTGCGGGCTTGGAGACACCTTCTTCTAGTACCGCGAGCGTTTCTCGTTTGATTGCAGCCCAGATACGATTAAACACCAGCCCCGTGCTCTGCACGTGGTTGGGCAGGACCATGGGACGCAAGCCTACTGATGTCATCTGGGCGGACAGAAATGGGAAGATGGTCTCGGCTGTCGACCCCGAGGACATCAGCTCCACCATTCGATTGCGAGGCGGGATGTAATGATGTGTATTCAGTAGGCGGCTTGCGTCTTTAACCCCGGGCTTGTCTGGGGTAGCCAGCATCTCCGCTGTGCGGAAGCTGCTGCTATTGCTGGCTAGGATACAGTCTTCTGTGACCAGCGACTCAACCTCGGCGAGAACTTTCCGCTTCACGTCAAGTTCTTCAGGGAGCGCCTCAATGACCATCCAGGGTTGGCTGCTGCAGGCAGAGGTAAGACTGTCAGAGGTACCGACATGACCGGGGTGAGTAGACTGCTCGAAACAGTAGGATCCAAGTGTATCGGAGATGTATTGGATAGCCGATGTGAGTACTTCGGGCGACTCGTCATACAGAACCACCGGCCGAGAGGTTGATGCCCACATCACAGCAAGTCGCCGCCCCAGGACTCCTGCCCCAAGGACCAATACAGGTCGTTTCTCAAGCTCCGTTTCCGCTGGGGGTTTCCATTGCGAGGATGCAACCACAGGCGTGGTGGAGATGTCACGTCTTAGGCTCGGCAATGTTGGTGCTCGCACAGAGCTCACTCCTCCAGTCCCAAACTCGCTCGGTGCATGATGATCTCTCGAGGACGCTGCACGGGTCAAAGTATAGTTCCGGAAACCACCAGCGGTTGAGGCACCCGTATATGCGGTGCCCAGTATCTTAGAGAGCTGGCGAGATCCTGCTAAACAGCACACTCCCCCTAGGAGTTTTGTGTTGTTGCTCCAGATTGCGCTCGAAGACGGTATCAAAGATGTCATTGTTTGCTCACGATTGTAGCTTGGAGTCAAGCCATCCTGAGCAAGTCAGTCCAGAACTACTCGCGGGCAATATATACTCGCCCTAGTAAGTCACGCATCCTCGGCCACCTCTTAGACGAGGCCTTTGATGGCATGTTATGCGGCTTGGAGGTGGTCTGATTTCCACATCACAACACCCGCATCTGATGCCAGGCCAGTCCCCGAAAGTGGCGTGAATTGGCGGGGTGCGTCCCCCGCAATACACAATCGGGGGAAGGGAATCTAGTGGATCGGGTCCCGCTGCAATGGATTCGGCCCCTCCCGAGACCATGTTGAGTTCGCGAAGGAGCCTGAGCTTAAGTAGCATTTAATCCACCTAGCTTATTAGCCCATTTATCTATTGTGATTTTTGGATTTCGGTATGAGCAGTCCTAATTTTGTTTTCTACCCGTGATAATTCAGCTATCTAGGTAATCTCATAGTCACCCCTGACATTGACTTAGGCCGCTAACATGACAGATTTCTGGTCTGTTCACCTCAATTGATTCCAAACCAGGCCAGGTCGACCGTCTCATGAACTGGGACCGTATGGCCGACTCCAGCCGCTGAATATGCCACAAACTTGGTTCCATCGCCATATACCATCTGTGTATAGCCAGACTGTGGTGAGTTTGTCACGTTCTTAGTAAAAGTGACGCCCAGCAAGGTTGACCATTCCTTCGTTTGTTCGGCGAAGTTCGAATAATAGTTGACAAAGTTGTCAGCAGTTCCATGCCACGTCTGAAATCGCGGATAACTCCCAGCCCAGGTCGGATACATCGCCTTCACCTGTGAAGCCCACTCCGCTCCAGTCTTGACGACCTTGCCCTGAGCACAAGTCTGATTGGCGCTGGTGGGACTTGAGCCTGGCGAACCGGCGAAGCAGCCTGCTGGCACGCCAGAGTAGCAAGACACTGCCGAGACAAGGTCCGGATACACTGCAGCCATGACATTGCTCATCATACACCCTGATGAAGACCCAGTGACATAGACCTGTGTGAGATCTACATTGTACTTCGTGATGGCCCATTTGACTGTCATCGCTAGTATGAGCAGGTTGTTGATGACTGTCGGGAGATAGACATTCTACTTACTCATATTGGCAAGTCCATTACTGTCTCCACCACCGTCGTGGCTCAGAGTCTTGTTGGATGCCACATCCCAGCAGTTGCTGTCATGTGGCGCTGAAGGATAAAAGACCAGGAACCCCTTCTGATCTGCTAGGGAGTTGTATTTAGTTCCCTGAGCGTAAGCCGGCCCAGTGCCACCACAATAGTGAAGCTGGACGCGGTCAGCGCATGTTGATATTGACCTGCTAAAGGTAGCTTACAGCTAAGATAAGCGCAGGCTTAGCATTCAGCTTCGAAGGCACATAGATATCGAGTTTCAAGCCAGAGGGGTTGCCGCCCCAGTCAGAAACTGGTGTAAGAGCTGATCCCAAGGAGCATGTTGCCAACAAAATGGCCACAAAGTTGCAGATATTCAAATACATATTTGTTGAGATGGTACAAGCTCGCGATGACATAGGAGTTTGCCTGTCACTGAGAATAGCAGAGTGAGCTCACAGGGGATTGCACTTTTAAGTACCTTAGCAATCAACGATAAGTTCTTCCATAATTTGTCTTCGGATAATGGGAAAAGGCATTCTTGTTTGATGCAAGCCGATCGATCTCCCGGGTACTGGGAAGTTTGGGGCAGCCTCCGCATTAAAGTCGTAATGGCTAATGTCGGGATAATCTTGATTTGTTCAATCGTGGAGTAACTACCGTAAAGCCTTCCATTGAATGAAACCCTATGTTTCTTAGGCTCTCGGTGGGGTACATCCATATTTGTAGCGTTAACGTCAGTTATATATGATCCGCACTGTAGTACCGAATATAGTTGCCGACTTTGAAACACTGAGCCGGAGAGGGCCTTCGTAACATGTGGTCTTTTCAAACTCTATTATTGACCCAAACTACTATCATACAGATCCAAAGTTCTCAGTGAAAAAAAGGCAAGCTAAAACGAATAAAGACAAGAAGAAACGTGCAGCTTAGTCTGATTCCCATGATGCAAGCTCTTCGATCATAACTCGCAATATCTCCGAACACAGCCCCTGACATGTTCTGATATGTCTACTTTGAGCCCGTAGGAGTGATTATGTCGTCAGAGATTGTATTTTGACATCGTCACGTTTTGAGACGGAATGGGTTGCCCAATACTCGTCAAGTTTACGGAACACTTCGTCAACGTTATTGTACGGTTGAAGTCTTGCCATGGATTGAATCTTGGCTGTGATAGCTTGCGTAGTGAATTTGTCAGCTGTTGCTGCTTCTGCGCGCCAGCGGCCTTCCATAGGATCGATAAAATGCGTTTCATTGTAGCCAAAATCCAGGAGAGCTGTTACATTGAAAGCGGCCATCATTGCATGCTATTCACATAAGTGTCAGTCCATGGTCGACATAATATGTGGTAAAATAGCTGGCTGGTGTCAGAAATAACTCACATCTTCATGAATCAGATTGTGGCAATGAAACATATAGACACCATCCCAGGGAGCGTAGTGTGCCTCGATGTAGACAGTCTCACCAGGACCAAGCCAAACGACATCTTTCAAGCCCTGTGACTCGTAAGGTAAGACAGGGCGCTTAGAATTTATCCTCCGCAGGACTTTGAAGTCGACCAGGTGGACGTGTATGGGGTGACTCCATCCGCCACCACCGTTTTTGAGCTCCCAGACCTCCACTGTTCCACGCGGTACATTAGCCAAAACGCGTTTATCGACCTCATTGAAGTTGACACCGTTGATTTCCCACTGGCCATTCTTCCGCTCAAATTCAAAGCTTTGGTTCACTTGTGCAGCATCTACAGGCGGCGGGAATGGCACTGTACGCAAAGCTGCCGGCACACGACTGGAATCTTGCACAGGTGTTGTGGACACAACGAAGCGCATCACCTTGTCTGTCTCCTGAAAGTCTTCATCGGCAGCGACCTTTCTGGCATTGCTTAGTGTGATATTCTGACCTGCAAATGGAGCAAAGTCGAAAACGACCTCGTAGCGTTCAGCGATGCTGATATACAGATCACTTGTGGTTGCTGGTCCCGAGAGAAGTCCAGTATCTGATGCAATGACTTGAAATGGGAGCTTGTCTGTCGATCCAGTCGCTCTTTGAAAAGACAATAAGAACGTGCGTGAGATGCCGGCATTGAGGAAGCGAAGCCGATATTTTCTAGGTTGCACTTTGAAATATGGCCAGGGTTGTCCGTTAACCTGAATTACATCTCCGTAGAGGCTGGTTGTCTCTGCTTTGGGGTTGAAAAGCGAACCATCGTTATTATATTGCTTGGCGGACAAGATCAAGGGAATATCGAACTGGCCATACCCTGCTGGCAAATTCAAGGCGTCTTCATCGGGGTCATGTATTAAGTACGCGCCAGCTTGTCCTATGACATGAGTTAATACAGACGATAAGCGAGACGGAAAAGATAGTTTTACCAAAATATGCATTTTCGGCGGTCTGCACTGAGTTCTCAGCAATCTCTTCATGGAAGTACAGGAAGTTGTGAGACCTACATGATCAATAGCATGGTCGTGGTACCACAGCATACGCGCATTCTGGCTATTGGGGTAGAAGTAGTCCTTGAATTGACTGGGGTGAGTGACATCCTCAGCCCAGCCATCCCAAGGCGCACGCTAATTATAATTATTTGTGAGTTCTGTATTATTTCAAGGACTCGAGAAGCTCACAGAATATGATCCATGGAGATGCACAGAGTTATCCATACTTGCATTGTTCACAAACCGGACGACTGTCTCTCTTCCCTTCTCAACAATGAAGGTTGGACCTGGCGATCGGCCATCATATCCCACCAATGATGCATTCCCTCGGTCTGGGTAAATTTTCTGAGAGAACGGGTTGATGAAGATCTCATAATAGTCGATGGGCCTGCCTGTGACGGGATTTGTTACAGTTCTGTATTGCATGTAGTCAGCTTGGCTGACAGGTACCTTTATTAAAGTGTTGCTTTCATACAATTTCGGTGACTTAACGGATGGGATTGGCAATGGAAATTGGAAGAGCCATGTAAACGGAGGGCTGAGCCATGACTTGCGCTTGTCTAGTGCTATGTCTCTATGTAACCTGGCGGGAGCTATCTCCTTCAGTGCATGGGTCCAAGAGCCCGGTAGTACAATGAGGGCGAAGAATAAAAGTAGATTCATATCTCTTATCACGATGAGATAGAGAAAGAGGTATGATGCTTCAAGTTCGGAGGGTGGGCTCCGTCTCAACGAGAAATAGACAGGTCTTGGCTGAGTGATTTTACGACTGGACAAGACGTTTATATAGGCCTTGATTCGGACCAGAACTTCATGTCAAATACGTATTTATTGACTAGATTGTCCGGGAAGGTGTCTGTTTCACATCATGATAAAATAGAGTCGAGATCTCTCTAACAGTCTATTGCTTTTAGGAAGTTAGTGCTGCAATAGTGCGGTCCTAAAGTATCTCAAATTGAGTGCGGCGGTTCTCTTCACTGCCTAGTATTGAAGAAGGCGGACGCAAGACGGGAAATAGTACATCGAGCATGACACAAATAGTTTGTGTGTTTCCATTAGTCGATAAAACAGCTGAAATTGAGCTTGCCTAAGGTTTGATTGGGCACGTCCTGTCAAAGGGTTTCGTTACACATCAGCCACCCATTCAGCCACGGTAATGGCAAATGAGTCTTCAACGTAATAGAATAAGTAGTTCCAGCTTCATAAACAGATAAATGCCAATGTTTGAGCACGTAGTTCTCGGATGGTATCGTCATCGATCATCATCAAATTGATTTTAAAAGCTTATCGCCTGCAATGATTAGTTTCTGGCAACAAAAGCATTAAAAATGGCGTCTGTCCCGTGCAACCACACCGGTCTGATCAGCCCATTCCGTCGCCTCAAGTGGGCAGCTCTCACGATTACACGATCAGCTGAGTCTTCAAATGCTTTAGTCATAGTCTTGAAGGCCTGCATGAGTCGCGATACCTTGAATAGAACTCAGTGATTTGGCCAATTGTGGGTGTACGAATGTCTCGTGTGAACTATGCTTAGATACATCTGCCTTTGTGACCTTTAACTCTAAGTGCCCTGCCTCCGATATTCAGCAGGAGCTAAGAACGAAATGTGAACAAGATGCAACAGAGGGTTGCTCGTCAATATATTACGGAAATTCAGGGAGAAATCCACATTATCTTCGATCCTTTCCAAATTTCACGGAGATACCAAGACAAAAGATGCATGACCCATTGAGCAAGTTGCAATGCTTTCGGTTGGCATTTTGTCAGCTGACGTTTAGAAATCTGTAAAGAAAAATTTTGCTATTCCCAGAGAAGGACTCCGTAACCATTTTCGATGACGATCTAACATGTCCAACGCCACGGTGCATTTCTCAAAAGCCCGATGTGCATTGAGACGTCGGAGCCACTGAGTTTTCATTAGACCATGAATGTATCTTTTCTGACACAACAAATAAAGATAGCGATATCCCGATGTCGGTCAGGCTCTCGTTTCCGAGTATACACCGATAGCCGTTCACTTGTCATGGACCAACCGACTAAGCTGCGGATGCTTATCAACAGACCCCGCAAGGCATAGAGACCCCTGAATCACAAGCTAGATAAGGCATCCAGAGCTCCATGACGATCCTGCTTCGGAATGAAAAGCTCCAGTACATCTACATGTATCTATAGTGTAAAGTGTTATCTAAGACCTATCTGTTTATATTAGGATGTTGCAATAAAGTCGATATTCTTCATCCTTACAACGGTCATACTTACCAAAGCCTTGGCCTGGACAAGCAAAATAAATAATCTGCCATGGCGACAAGTACAGTTGAGACAGTTAAACAGACTTTCGGGGATGTTATCTCCTCGAAGCTTGCCGATGATGTTGATCCTGCTCAAACTGCTCTCAACAATGCTATCAACCGCTTCATCACACGCAACCCACGTTCACAGGAGCTCCACAAGCTGGCAACTGAGAGCATGCCAGGCGGCAATACTAGGACGCAGCTCCATACCTTCCCTTTCCCGGTCTGTATGAAATCTGGAGAGGCCTATCAGGTGACATCAGAGGACGCGCACATGTATAATCAATCTCTGTTGAATCTAGTCATTGTTGAAGCTCATGGTACTGCAGATATACAGATTTTGTTGGAGAGTTGACTGCTGGGCTATATGGTCATTCCCATCCGGTCATCAAAGAGTCCATTATCTCGGTCCTGAATAATGTCGGCATCAATCTTGGTGCCACCATCGCCCAGGAACACATCCATGCCAGCGCCATTTGTGCGCGTTTTGGGCTTGAGCGTGTACGCTTCACCAATTGCGGGACCGAAGCCAACCTACACGCCCTCGCTGCAGCTCGTTCCTTCACAGGGAAGAAAAAGGTTGTCGTATTTGCTGGTGGATATCATGGCGGTGTCATGACATTTGCAGGAGGAGTGCCTGCTGCCAATAATGTCGATCGAAATGACTGGATCATCGCACAGTATAATGACATTGCGAGCGCCGTAGAGGCCATCAAGCAGCCCGATATCGCGGCCGTCCTAATAGAAGGCATGCAAGGAGCGCCCGGTGCTATCAAAGGAACGGAACCTTTTTTGAAGGCCATCGAGGCAGCCGCAAAAGAAGTATGTAATGACACTCAAAGCTTGACTTCATATGTTCGAGCAACCCTGGCTAACAGTACCTGAATCAGGCAGGCGTTGTTTTCATTCTAGATGAAGTTATGACTTCGCGTGTGGCAACCGGCGGTCTTGCGTCTATATATGGGTTGAAGCCTGACCTCAAGAGCTTCGGAAAGTATCTCGGAGGCGGCCTTGCTTTTGGTGCTTTCGGCGGACGTGCTGATGTGATGGCCGTATACGACCCAAGGCCTGGCACCACGACGGCGCCTCTCGCTCACCATGGAACTTTCAACAATAACTCATTGGGCATGTATGCAGGATATGCTGGTTTGTCTCAAATCTATACGCCAGAAGTGTGCACCGAGTTCAATGCTCTCGGCAATCGTCTCCTCACTCGCTTGGCCGAGGTCACGGAAGGGACCAAGATGTGCTTCACGGGCATTGGGACAGTGTTCGGGTCTCACTTCACCTCAGCAGGCTTGCAAGCAATTGAGCGTGAGACTTCTGAGGATTGGAAACTGAAAGAGCTGTTCTGGTACGAGATGATGGAGGAGGGTTTCTGGATTACCCGGCGAGGTAGCATCGCTTTGGTGCTGGGGACGCCGCAGGAGGAGCTAGATAGGTTCGTCGAATGTGTTTCTGCATTCCTTCAGCGACATCATAGCTTGGTTCGCATTTAGATACGAATTCTCTCAATACAAAAATCCAGACATTTTGATGGGCAAAGGTTGAAAGAGGGCGTGGCTTTGAAGAGGTATCTAGGTAGCTGGCCATACTTAGTTGCGCACGTGATTCTGCTTATCTTATCGTTTATAGGCACTTCCAAATCTTCTTCTCTACCTAGGTAATCTCGCCATCGTGATCATAACGTTCTTACGTCGCGCAACCAGAAGATCACCGCCCTTGCCATTTCAAAGGCAACATTAGTACTATAACCTTGACGCAATGGATTATCAGAACCGTGCCGGTTCCAAGTTCGGCGGTGGAGGCGTAGCCAGCCACTCAGCGACCAACGCCGACCGACGCGAACGGCTTCGTAAGCTCGCCCTCGAGACGATCGACCTCGACAAAGACCCCTACTTCTTCAAGAACCACGTCGGCTCATTTGAGTGCCGTCTCTGTCTCACCGTACACCAAAACGATGGCTCCTATCTTGCCCACACCCAAGGCAAGAAGCATCAGACCAACCTCGCACGGCGCGCGGCAAAGGAGCAGAAGGAAGGCAAGAGCCAAGTCGACCCGCAGACTGGTCTCCCCATGGGCGTCGTCGGCGCTGGCTTCAGCGCGCTCGGTCTAGGCGCGAATGGCGTGCGGCGCAACGTTGTGAAGATTGGACGTCCCGGCTACAAGATCACCAAAGTCCGCGACCCAGTCACAAGACAGCAGGGTCTGCTCTTCCAGCTTCAGTTCCCGGATATCGCCAGCGACGTCACTCCCAAGTGGCAGGTCATGAGCGCCTTCAGCCAGAGAGTAGAGGAAGCGGACAAGAACTTCCAGTATCTGCTGGTGGCGGCGGAGCCATATGAGACTTGTGGCTTCAAGATTCCGGCGCGTGAGCTCGACAAGCGCGAGGACAAACAATTCAGCTTTTGGGATCCCGATGCCAAGGAGTACTGGATCCAAGTGATGTTCATGACCGAGAGAGAGGAGCGCTTCGGCGCGGCGCCCGGTCTCGCCGGTCGGAGGTGATGGTCGAGGAAATAATGGACCATTTAATATAATCGCTAAGGCTTCGCTTCCGCGTAGCTTGGGATCGCAGTCATCCTTTCTCAAGGGGTCTGACTCTAACATTTCGACAAGAGAGCAAGAAGATCCACGAAAGAGACTTTGTAAGACGCTATGGCTACAGCTTGTCATCCATTCAAAGTCACTGACCGCAATCAGATCAGCATGACCATGCCGATGGCGGGTGACGGCATGTGTTAGTGGGATATAGAATGCGATCTTTGTACTTGATAGTTTGGTATAGCGATCTCATCGAGAGATCTTGAGTACTATGTACTAATGATACCCCTATATGCAACATTCGCTCAAAGAGCTGAAATGTCCGTCATCTACCATCTTGATCCATCGTCTACCATTGCTCATCTCATGTGTACCATGTGCGTACCTATAACAAGCCACTCTCACAGTGGGCTATCGTAATGAAACCTACATGATATCTGTCATCAACATCTAGCTCCTCGCGGGCCACAACTGTATCCAGTTCCAGACCGTATCCTCTCTCTAGCTCTACCCGAGAATCAAGCAGCTCGCAACCATGGATGTACTCGGCATATCTCGAAACCGGAACGTCACGAAATTCATGTTCAAACATTGCAAGCACCGATAGATGCCAGTTCTGGAATGTTGAGCAATTACAGGAGAATTTGTATCGCAACTTGAATCGTCTCGAACAGGATAAGGTAGACAGAATTGCAGATAGTTATCGACCACGAGAGCAAATACCAAGGCTGGGAGAAACAAGAGTTGCCGCAGAGTGTGAGCTAAAGAGCCGTCGATAGACACATCATCGGAAGTTGTTATCGAACCGCTTGAAAGTGTATCCGATGAAGGGCAAGCTCATCTCGGGACTCTCCTCAGCAACTCCGGCCATAGCGCGTTGCTGATTAGCGGCGGCCTGTTGCGCCTTAAGCAGCGTCGCATTATCAGTCTGATCGATCTCGTCCGTGGGGAAGTACGTTGTATCGATGTTGCTAGTCAAGCGGGGCTCGAATGGAGCACGGATGCGACGAAGAGAGTCGAACTCAACACCTCGGAAGAAGCTATGGCTCTTGATCTCGTGAGCACCGCTACGGCCGAGTCGGTTCTCAGTGTTGCAGATTAGACTGATGAAATGTTAGCGGCCAAATCGAGAGGGAGTTGCAGGGAGATTGTAGTGAACAATCTGAGCTCGACCTAGAATTTAGAGAGACATACCTTCGGATCAAATTCTCCGCCTCTACACCAAGCTGGATATCGTCCGGGAAGTACAGGCTTTGTCTCCAGTTGACGATCTTGCGATAGGTATCATGGCTGTCCTCTGCACAGAACGGGGGCCAACCAACGAGACACTCGAACATGATAGTGCCCAAGCTCCACCAATCGCAATCGAAGCTGTATCCATGGCCTGTGAAGATCTCGGGCGCAATGTAGTCTGGGGTACCAACAGTGGAATAAGCCATCAATCTACGACTTCGTCGCCAGTCATTGATTTGAGCACGGTTAGAGACAGTCAGGTTGATCTGGTCGATGGCAATAGAGTTTCTATCTCTAGGACGGTTGCTCTTTCCTTGGAGAAGCTGTTGGTAGTAGTTATTGTCGTGCAACTTGTGGAATCCCGTCGAAAGGCCAAAATCGGTCAATTTGACGTGACCGCCGCGATCCAGGAGGATATTGTCGGGTTTGATATCACTGAGTACAGTCAGCATTTACCTAGAAGGGAGAGATAGCACGAGGGCGCATACCGATGAATGAAGCCCAGCTTATGAACTGCCTCGATCGCTAGCACAATCTCTGCAATGTAGAATCGCGTGATGTCTTCCGAGAAGATCTCATACTTGATGAGCATGGTCATTAGATCTCCACCTGGCAAGAACTCCATCAACATGTACAGAAAATTAGCATCCTGGAATGTTGTGTAGAGCTTGACCACCCAAGGGCTGTCGCTTTCGGCAAGAATGTCTCGCTCGGCCCGAACGTGAGCAAGCTGGTCCTTCTTGAACATCTCGGTCTTGATCAATGACTTCATAGCGTAGACCTTGCTGTCTGCTTTCTTTTGGACCAATTTGACCTCGCCAAAAGCACCTTTTCCGATGATCTTGACCGTGGTGTAGTTCTCGGGCTTGTCTTTAGTGCGCAGGAAACGCAGATAAGAGCCCTCGCGACGGCCACCAGTAGACCAAATCTGCTCTCTCCTTGAAGGCGATTGATTTGGTTCGGAAAGCTTTTGCTCCATCTCACTCTGTCTGTAAAGAAGGCACGTTAGCAAGGGTACTGAGGAATCACTCCAGCAAGTGTCCAGCATAAAATCGAAAATCGTTTACAGCGGCGACAGCAAGACCATGTCACTCACCTCTGGTTTCGCTCTCTAGCACGCTTGACGCTGTCCTTGAAGAAGTCTGCGGCCAATTGAGAGCATTTCTTCTGGTTGTTGTTCGCATTCGGGCCATATTTGTCTGGGTTTCGCTCGGGTGCAGCTTGGAACTCGAAGACTGGGGTCTGGGCGGGCTGGCTGGGCATTGGAGCATTAAGGTAGTCGTATGAAGGTTGCTGGCCCGAAGCGCCTGCTGTTCGAGGGCGCTGGGAGGGAGAGGGGCCTCGCGATCCGTAGGGCGAAGCTCTTGCTGCACCACCGAGGTTTTGGTGGGAGAATTGGTGGGCTAGACCAGTGTTGGGGTCATTGCTGGCGCCTGGGGTATTAGATCGGGCTTGGCCGTAAGCATTGGAGAGAGGCTGGGCAGGATACTGAGGAGGGTATTGATTCTGTTGGAAGTACCCAGAAGGCGCATATCCAGTCGAGTATGGCTGGCTTTGCTGAGAAGAGCCGAGGCCAGAGGAGGACGAAGGCGCCTGGTTGGAACTGAAGACAGGCTGTGGGAAGGTGGAGGGAGTTGTGGGATAGGCCCGATCATTCCCAGCAAATCGATCGTTGTTGTTGTTACCAACATTGAGATAGAGTCGGTTCCCCTGGTTGTCCATGGCTTCTATTTTGTCTGCTACCTCGCCTGTAGTCTTGCGTCGTGGATGAGGGAGTTGGTAGTTTAGGAGGCGGTCACCTTGTCGCTAAGGTGGGCGATTGCCAGCTCAGAGCCCCTGGCAAGTGTGGAGCCTGGCGGTGAGGGGGAGGTGAGAGGATGTCAGGCTGGTGGACAGGAGCACCTGGGCCAGAAGACAAATGATCTTGGCGTCAGAGCATGAACAGCTTCGACAATGAAGGGATTGAGTGTGTTGAGTGTGATCTGGGTCGTCGGTCGGTCGGTCGCTGTTCCCCGTCAAACAAACTGAGCCGCCGCCCTTGGGTCAGGGGAAGCAGGAAAAGGAGGGGCAGCAAGCACGCGGCTAGATGCAGCAAGACCCGACGACGCTAATCTGGGCCTCAGAGAGGGCAAAAAGACGGTACTAGATGACGCACAAAGACCCTGCTATCCAGGAGATTCCTGTGTTCTTTCAGGCGATATGGAGCTGTTGGTGAGGATGGAGGAGGAGAACCGAGACAGATAGCTCTCACTCTGGCAGTGGAGCTGTTGGGGGGCGTGTTTTTCGGTTTCCTAAACGAACCCCTGAAGTTGCAAAGACGCCAAAAATTGTTAGCTAGGGGGTACGCCTGGCGCTCAGACCAAAAGGAGCCTCACCCATCCAATTCAACCCTTACTAGATTTATTCACGACATTTACTGCTGTCATACTCTTCAAATTCATTGATGGTATTACTTTTTGATTGTTTATAGAAAATGACATGGTGCAATTCTTTCTCTTCTGATAAAATCTGGTAAAATGCTATGATTATACCAGCAGGTAGACGTAGAGAGGCACGATGCTATCAAGCACTTAGTCGTAACCCATCTATCTACTTTATACATCGATGGGGATGATCCTAGAGACAGCAATCACAACAACAACTATACACCCATTTTTTCAAGAAAATCCAGTGCAGCCACCAGGCGAATAGATGCCGTAGGCTCTATATACATAAATCAAATATCTTGTTGACTTGTGCCATGAAAAGAGACCTTTCAAATCGAGGTGCTCTACAACGGTCCATCATAAATCCGTTATCGCAATCCTTATCGGCGCAGACTAGCCTCCCGACAGAACCCATGTCGTGAATTTTTCGAGGTCATCCCAGACCAGCTTCCCTCCCACCTTCGCGAAAATCTTAGGCACGACAACATAAGTGGCTGGAAAGCAGCTTACTTAAGACATCACGGCATGCATTTACGTGTCTCTGCATGAGAGAGTTCTGAAGAACCTGCAATTGTAGCTGGTCATAATCAAGTGGCCGAAAATGGCTGATCCTAGCTCCTCTGCGCCGGCTGCTGTAAGTTACCCTCGTTGCTTTCTCTTGGGGAGCTTCAATTGACTCTGTCTCTCAGGCCTCAGCGCCGTCATCCACAGTCCCGAAGCCTCCGAAGCCTGTTCAGCAGAATCAGGCATTTCGAATGCTCGGGCTGCCGGTATTCCCCCGGAAGCTTCCGTCCCGAAATTGGATGATTTTCTGGACCGTCTCAACAACGATCACCGGAGCTATTATATACGACAGACGGGAGAAGAAGCGCGCGACCGCACGCTGGGCGCATGCTGTGTCTCATCTTGCAAATGAGCCCCTCCCGTCACCAAGCGCCATGCCCAGGAAGTTGACCATCTACTTACAAGCACCTCCGGGTGACGGTTTGCGCATCGCCCAAGATCATTTCACCGAGTACGTGAAGCCTGTGCTGGCAGCCAGCGGGCTTGACTGGGACTTTGTGCAGGGACGAATGCAGGGAGATGTCCGAGCCGTCGTTGCAGAACGCGTCAGGCGAGCAAGAAGAAACACGGAGGCTGATATTGGCGGTAAAGATTCGGCCATCGAAACATCCCTACAGACTGAAGATGATGCAGTCGAAACTTGGAGACGAAAGAATAATGTACCTGAGTTCGAGGGCGTGCGAGGTGATATTGTGATCGGTCGACACACGTGGAAAGAATACATTCGAGGCTTGCACGAGGGCTGGCTGGGGCCCCTGGCCCCTCCCCCTGAGCCTGAGCCCGAACTCCCTCCAGCTATAGAGAATTCAGAATCCGAAGGCGAGAAAGCAGAGGAGAAGCCGAAACGTCCGCCACAGATCAAGCCCTATAATAGCGTTGAAGATTATTCAACCGCTCATCTTCCACTTCTGATCCCTTCAGAACTTACTCCCTCCACACCGATACCATTCCCTCACATTCTCGGCTTCCTCAACACCCCTATTCGAACCTACCGTTACTTCACACAGCGTCGACTTGCGGACGAAATTGGCCGTGAGGTTGCTGCGGTTTGCCTCGGTACGTATCGAGAGTTCCGCCAGGCTGATAATGTAGCCACAACCACAGAGGAACAGTGGGAGCAGCAGACCGCATTAGCTCACGAGGAGCAAAACTGGGTAAAGAGCACTTGGAAGGAAGAAGAAACCACGGTAGACGATGCCAAACCTACAGCAGAGACGCCGAAGACAGAGAAGATATGGCCCCGGCCAGTTGTCATGGACCCAAGGGTTGCTATGCGTATGCGGAGGTTCGAGCTCCTTCCTGAGGATGAAGAGCGTGCAAGACAGATCGTCATCCCCGAAGAAGAGATCGAGGGCTGGATCAAGGGGAACCTCCGGCACATCTGGCGATGGGGAGCTGGCAAGTTCTCCAAGGAGAAGAAGACAATCCCCCTCGACGACGAAGCGGAGTAAAGATGCGCCAATCTGTTTCCGGATAACAGACATATTGAGGTTGTCCATCTCTTGAGATATAACGGATAGGGTTCTGACCTCGAAGCTTCCCAACCCTTCCTTGGACGCGATATATGTGTAAAATAGGAGTGTAGATATCAGCCCCTCCCCTGTTATAAATATTGTGTAAGATATGGATCAATTATATAGGAGGGTGTCGTGTCATTGACCGGCGACAAGATCATATGGATTAGGCATAGATGGGGAACCAACAACTCCAATACCAGAAGACCGTGTAGCATAGCATAATTCACTCCTCTTGCTGAGCCACCACATCTTCTTTATTCCTTACTTGCCCAGCCTGAGCACAACCACCTGTTTGACATTAGCTCGAAGACGATCTGGGCAGTGTTTCAAATATAAGCTCTTCCCAAAGCCGGGAGTTAGATTTCAAAGATCATCAGATTTTGTTTTGAACGTGAGCAATTATTCAGCGTGTCGAGAGGCGTCTGTAAATCTGGGCGGTTCAACCTTCCTCCTCGATGTGATGACATTCCTGCTCCCCAGAGCAACTTATAAATATTAAATATATTAATGAACAACAGCTAGAATATGGTGTTCACAACTTTTGACTTGAGGGTTTAACTACTTGTAGATACGTTTTGCATTGTACACGGAGAGAGAATATTGAAAGTCAAGAATAATCATACGCTTAGGCAAGCAAGTATATCGAATTTGAGTTCGACGGTTCAAGCTTATACGCCTTTTGATTGTGCACAACAGAGTGTAATGATTCAATGAGGCGTCTCCAACCCTTTTGCCGGTATGAATAATCAATGTTGCCCAAACCTCTAATTGAGTAGCTTTAGCATTAATTCAGAATTGTCAACCTTGGAATCAATATTTTCTTTAGACTATTGGCAACGTAAAGTACATACTGTATGCAACCTACTATTTCAAGTTATTTGGAAACAGGGCAACCCTACATCATTGGACTTTCGAAGTCAAAGTCAACCATTATGACCAAATGTCACAATGGAGAATATATCAAGAATTTTTTGATAGAACACGAGAAAAGTTTGATGTCTAATCATCATGCTTTTCCTTCCAAGATGGGTTCTCCTATTCTCAGGCACTCAACGGCTTCTCACGATCGAAAACCTCCGACAGGAATGGAGGAGGAGGTGGATATCAGAGACAAGGCTCTGCCACCTGGCAGTTTTGGCAGCTGTGTCTAAGTGACCGCCCAGATCAGGTGCTGACAGCTGGCGACTCCAGCTATGACGTAGGTCAGCCGTTCACCATTTTCGCCCAAAGATCAACATAATTCCAAACGAATCTCGTGCACAGCCGCCAGGACGTCACTACCGTAATCATGCTCCTAAGATCCTGATGATAGCAGGGTCAACTCTGGCCAGTGAATTAGAGCATCCCGCATGAAAGAGGCATGTCATCAAAGACCTGTCTGGTGTGGCGATCAGCGGTCCCATACATTACGCCACATCCTACTTTCATGGTCGATCACTGGTCGGCTTTAACCGAGGCGACTATACAATGCAGAGTCCAATGACAAAATCTGGACACAAAGTTTTCATGTCGTGGAGTGGGAAAATGCTGTCAATCTCTCTAGAATCTGAACTAAGCGTCATTGTAAGGCCCGGGCTAGGCGGGACCGTTTGGACGCAAGGCTGATATCGATACCATCCCATCCTTCGTGCCACAATGAGTGTTGATCATCGCCCTGGCAGGATTGCTAGAGATCATCGTGTGCACAACCTCCGCTTGCTCCGTTCAGCATCCTTAGTCCAGTCATCCTACCTAGCAGTTCCGAAGCATGAGGAGAGAGCGATATTTTGAAGGTCGCGCTACTGCAAGCACTTTAACAGCACCCCTCCCATGCAGGACACACTGAGAACACCTGCAAGACAGCCCGAATCTATCCACCCAAGCATCCAACTCGCGCCTGATCGGGTGGGGCTTACCCTTCGAGTTTCCTGACTTGAGCAAGTATGGAAGAACGGTATCCTGGTTGAGCAGGGCCTTTTACCCAGAAATTGAAAATTGAAGAATGAATGGAAGGCAAGTGGTGCGGACTACAACGAAGCCTTGGCGGATGGAGTCCTCAGTGCAGCACCATATCAAAAAACCACTTCTTCGGGGGTGACGGAACAGTTTGTCAAACCAGGTAGATTCATCCGCTGAGATTCGATCGGCTCAAAGTCACACATCGGTCCTAGGTACCTTCCGGCCATATCTTGATCCGCCACCTGCCTGTGTTGCCCTAAGTGAATGATCGACAAGCTCGGCGTCCTTCGAAAGGGAGCCAAATTGTCTGTCTCACCGTTCTTTCGCCCCCGGGAGGACCCTGAATTTCGAACTCTGACGGCTAATTGTGGCAACTTGGTTCATACGATGACTCTCGTGAGCATATCTCGTCGTTGGGTGACTCTAACCTTAGACATGCCCATTATCGAATAGTTCATCACTGCAAGTCTCCCGGCGACCCGCCGCCGCGAATCACGTTCATCATCGTGTAAGATTCCGAAGGCAGTCGCTGACGAGTGCCACCCCGGCGGCCGAGCTCTGCTTTCTCACGTCGACAGCGATGATAGGCTAGACACAGACGTTCTGCATATGCAACATGGGTGCGGAATTGAGGAGCAAAACGGGCGACCGCAAGTGGGAAGGGGCCCTTCAGCTGGGCCCACGGTTGCCTGTCCGGTCTCGCCAGTGCCCGCCGTCCACATCATCGACCTGCATGCTCGAAGCCTGCTCGCACGCTGGGACGGTCCTGCATACGTCGTTGGGTCCAGTCATCCGTTCCCTGCCCTGGGAGCCCGTGGGGTGTTTTTACTTCCATTCGTGAACACTCAAGAGACCGGAGCCAGCATTCTGCACCTTACATATGCATCCACCTCGTTGACCGCACGTGCATCTGTGCAATCTTGTTGGACGGTGGAAGGCTGTGACCTAGGAAGATAGCTGGAATCTGGCCTGATTGGGCAAGGCCCGGCGTGATCTCTGAGCGGCAAGCAAGCCAGTCAGCGAGCCATATTGCCAAATTGCCCCTCGTGAGACTCTTCACCGCCAGCTCTCCGGATTGTGCAAGTCTGGGGCTAGCCCACAATGACTTGCATATAGAACACTCGTGACTCAAAAGCCATATGGGGATACATAGTTCTAGAGCTGGAGCATATCGAATCGGTGTGGTAATTAGTTGAATCAGCAACCGGCTACCGGAGCTGATATTCCACTACAAAGTTGATGGCAGGATCTCAAGATCTAGTGGTGGGGTCGGCCGGGAACGGCACGCGGGCTGAGAGATGGCGGGGTGTATAATGAAGCCATCAGTTCGGATGCATGCCCGGGAGATGGTACAGGACGTCCAAGACGTATGGGCATCGTGGGAATTACTCTACCTACGTATCTACTGTGAATGCTGCACATGATCGAGCGGCTTAGTCCTTTAGCAGGGTTGTTCCCAATTGTGTCGTCCAGCCAATGGTCTCCTCAGTCTGATGGAGAGACAGCCACGCGGAAAAAGGCCCTTATATGGAGGCGTCATCTCAAGTGTCATCCGCATATCTAGTCACAGTTTGCTGGTCTAGTTTTCTAGTGACCAAACGTAACGAAGGATCGGCCAGTTGAGGGATAAAGAGCCGATCCTGTGTTCCAGCTCTTGCCCAATGATGAAAGCGGCCCAAAGAGTTTTTGTTAGAAGCTCGGCGTATGGACACGTTAAAAATTCAATATCTTAGAGAAAAGTAGAGTTTCTACAGATTTTAGCCGTGGGGAGGCCTTGGGATAGTTTCTCATTTCCCATTGCTCGCGTCAAATCGTCGAGTGACGGCTCCATCAACGGACCCATCATGGCGTATTGAAGGTGATACTAAGTGGCCACTCCTACAGCTGCACGGCGACTTACCGCAGAATGAATGGTCAGCCACGACCCTTAGGCTTGTACATGGGAAAGCAGCGGGAGTCTACGCCCTTTGACGAGCGGGATGCCTTTCTATCCTCGGTAATGATGAGCTTGATCATCCAAAGAGACTTCAAGTGCAGGCAACCGATTCTAACAAGACGGCGAGGAGGGATTTGAGGGACCAACCCCCATTCTACCTGATCGCTTCACCATGCCTAAACCCCCTCATTGCTGCATCTCTGGCGCGACAATTCCGGGCGGGAAAGAGGGGAAAACAGGGTCCGCGACGAAGACTCCATTTTCACGCATCGTGAGATGCAAGCGAACAAGCCGGCTTGAATTTCTGGCGGAGAAAGGGTAAAACGCCCGGGCCCGGATCTCTGCTGCCACTTGGGTCTTCCAAAAGACGGCCGAACTTCGGCATGCTCATCTGCTGCTTCCATAGAACATTTCGAGTTGTCGTGGAAATGGCTGCAGGATGGATGCCAAGCTGTGGAGAATTCAAATACCAAAAAAAGCCAAATCGTACAATTGGCTTGGTGGCTTGTCAGTCCCTAAAATCGGCTCTCGCGGCCAGCTCGTCTGTAAGGTAGTCTTAGTCGCTTGTGACTGACTGCATCGCAGCAGCTGAGAGCCCAAAGACGTGCATGTCATCGTGAAAATTGCATTATTATTGTCAACGGCCCATGCTGTCGAGGCTGGCTTATGCTGATATCTGCTCTGCCTCGTTGGGGTCTAGTTCATGAATGGTAGGTCACCACAGTAGTTTTCGATAGTGCATCGAGTCTGGCTGCACTGCAAGTGGGGTCGCAAGATGAGTTCGTGAGTGAGAGTGAGGTTTATTCATAGAACCGGGCAGTGTGATCCAGAGATCCAGTCCGGTCAGGAGGAATCGCCCGTCCCGACCGACTTACTGGCACCCTCCTCAACTCCAGTCGACTCGACTTGACAAGGCTGCCTTGCCAACCAAGCGAGACATATTGGTCACCAGTGGCACTGACTGCGTAAGTAAGTTCAGTGTACCCACTGGTTGAGTGAACTCATGGTCAAGGACAGATCTCCGCTGCCACCCGCCTCAGCGGTGCGCGGATCGCGGACA